ACTCTAATCTAATAGAATCAGCTGCCTCATCATACTTTTCACTAAGTAGGTATCTTGAAATCAAAACTTGCATGGTTTTGTTTTTATCCCACCAGTTTGCTTCCCCCTCAGACTTTCCCACCCCAATTAAAGACAACTAACTCCATTCCTCATCTTACTCAGGTAAAAATAAACACACAACCTGGAGTAATTCTTTGTCCTCTTCCCTTCCACCTCACATCCAATATGGCAGCAAGTCTCAGCCCAGCACATTCTCCGAGCCCACTACTATTATCCTCATCCCAGTTACCATCGCCTTTCACCTATATTATTTCAATAGCCCCAAAATTGTCTCCCTGCTTCCCCTCTTGGCTCTTATCAGTCCATTTCTTTGCACCACCACCAGAGTGTGCTGATTCTGAAACCCGAGACAGATTGTATCATTCATCTGCTTGATCTTCACAATGGCTTCTTATCCAACTCAGAAGAAAATACGAAGTCCTTTCCTAGACCTGTAAAGCTCTATGTGGAAAAAGAAGACTCTATGGGATCTGACTCCTCTACCCCCGGTCTCATTTCCATCTCATTCACTCTGCTGTAATCACACTTGCTTCCTTTAGGGTTGCTGGAAGATGTCGGCTGCAATCCTCCTATCTCAGGGCTTTCCTACTTGTTGGTCCCTTTGCCGGGGGTGCTCTGCACATGCCCACCTCCTTCTGTCTCAGCTCAAAGGTCACCTTGTCAGAGTGACCCTTGCTGACCACTCTGTATAAAGCAGTATTCCCAACATTACTATCAGTCTGTTTATATTATTTTGTTTTTCCTCTAAACAGTGGTTACCATTACCTCATAGAGTTATAAGATGTCAACAACATGCGTGTGGACAACTCTGCCGCAACAGGACATAATATCCTGGCTTCAGCATCCTCAGCCCTTGTAGGCCTTGGTGTGGTCTTCCACATCTTTGACAGGTGTACCGCCAGCCTTGAAGCAGTTTACAACTCAGAAGCTACAGGTTGTAGCCAGACTATTGGTTGCTCTCAGACTTGAAATTTTACTTTATTCATTTTTCTACTATTGTCATTCCTGGTATTGATGTCAATAGAAATAAGTCTGCTCCACATTCTTTCTTTAAACACTGAAGTTTTTTTGGTGTTCACTGGGTTACTTGTTGACTCATGCTACAGGAAATCTGGAAATTGAAGATATGAGCAGATAATTAAGTCCCAACTCTCTCAAATAAACTCCTTCCCCCTTTCCCTTATTTCCTTCTTAACTTTTTATTATCTACTTATCTACCATGTGCCAAGCACTATGTGGTACACTGGGACTAGAGTGATAAAATATATCAAATTGGTTTAACTTTCTTTATTTTTAATAATCCTGACCTTAAGATATTTTTCCATTGATTTTTTTTTTTAAAGAGAGAGTGGAAGTAAGGGAGGGGGAGAGAGAGAGAGAGAGAGAGAGACATTGATGTTAGAGAGACACACCAATTGGTTGCCTCCCAAATGTGCCCCAACTAGGGCTGGGGTGGAACCTGCAACCCAGGTACATGCCCTTGACCAGGAATTAAACCCATGACATAGGGACAGATACTCTAATCATTGAGCAACAACTGTCAGGGCTGTTTAACAATTTTAAAATAAGTATTAACAAAAGGTGAACCATGATCCTTGAAAAAATACAAATTACTATTTTAGTTTAGACTGAAAAATCCCCCTGCTTTTATCCTGTATGTTGAAAACTGGATCTTGTGATATAAGGAAGAGATGTGAATGTCTAGGGCAGTGATGGCGAACCTTTTGAGCTCGGCATGTCAGCATTTTGAAAAACCCTAACTTAACTCTGGTGCCGTGTCACATATAGAAATTTTTTGATATTTCAACAATAGTAAAACAAAGACTTATATTTTTTATATTTATTTTATATATTTAAATGCCATTTAACAAAAAAAATATCAACCAAAAAAATGAGTTCGCGTGTCACCTCTGACAGGCGTGTCATAGGTTAGCCATCACTGGGGAATATGATCCTTAAAGGGGTTGCCATCCAGATGTTAGATAAAAGAGACTATGACTCATTCAACTAGGAAGCTGGACTTTCGAAGGCCCATCCAAGTCATGGTGCCTTTGAGATTTGTCTGTTAGCATTAAAAACTTGGTATGTGTCATTGAATGTAAATATTATGCAACAATTTGAAAACGAACACCAGATTGAAAGACATAATAAGAGTGTCTTATACCACTGGTCTCCACCTTGTGAGTAGAGGTTACCAGAGACCACACTGAGTGAACGACAGCCCACAGACCAGACTGAACATATGACTATGCTAAATTCTGCTGCTATTTTCAGAGCTTGCTGCTTTTCAAAAACACTCCTTGGGGCCAACCAGGAAGCCATACTTTCCTGATCTATTTTCTGCAGTTGCTTCATTTACTGTTCTTTTCTCTTTACTGGCTGTTGCTTGATGTGGTATTTCTGTGCCTCCTTATTAAAGCTTTTTGTGCCCACATTTTCTACTCTAAATCTGCATGTTTGAAGACCATTTTATATAACTTCCGTGCTTTTGATATTTTCTGGGTTCACCACAGACTCAGTAAATAATATACAATGACTTCAAGCCAATATGTTTTCAATGGATTTCTTAGCTTCCTGCTTAGACAACCTCACTCTGCTTACAAATATTTTTTTAATTGCTGGTCTGTTTGCAGATGCATACGCAGTTCTATACAAAGAAGTAAGAGCATGCTGAGTTTAGGACTGCTTTTTATAAACTCCCATCACTGCTTCATTCAAAAGAGGAATGGAAATATGCAGGTAAAGCCACATATGTTGACATAAATTGGGTAAAAAATACAAACTCTTCAGAAACCTGATTTTTTTTTTTACTCAGAAACATAATGTGGATACACAGAGCTCTACTTTCCCCATTTTAATAATTGCATGGCTTTCCACTGTATGAGTGTGCTATAAGTTATTTCAACAAGCCCCCATTAACTGACATTTGAGTTGTTTTCTCTTTTTGATAATTTATAGTAATGATACAATTAACATCCTGAGACATCTTTGCATATCTGAACAAATATGCCTATAAGATAAATTCCTAGCAGGGTAATTTTTGGCTCAAAGGCAACATACATTAAAGCTGTTAGATATTGCTAAAAATAATTCCTTTCTGTATCCTTGCCAACTCTGGGTATTAACATTTTTGAAATTAATATTTTAATTATAGTTCACATTATATTAGTCTCATGTGTACAATATAGTGATTAGGCATTTATATACCTTATGAGTGATCACCACAATAAGTCTAGTAGCCACCTGACACCATACAGAGTTATCATAATATTATTGACTATATCCTAGTCTATCCTTGGGTATTCGCATTTTTTATCTTTTCCAATTTGATGTGTCAAAAACCATGTCACTGTTTAATTGTGCATTTATTTGATTCATAAAGAGTCTGAATATCTTTTATACTAAATAGCAAACATTGACTAGCCATTTTTCTTTCATTTGAAAACTGCCCATTCATGAGCTTTGCTCCTCTTCTCATTCACTTATTTGAGTTCCTTATATAGTATAGAGAGAAACTCTACTTTGCCTCATGGTTGCAACTGTTTTCATATTGATCAACTTTTGATTACTGTGAATTATTTTTCTATTTTACTTTATTATTAAAATCACCCTCAATTGGCTTTCCAAGCAACCCTGTAAATTTTTGTAATAAAATCATGATAAAGACATTTATTTTAATCTATAATAATAAAAGCCTAATATGCTAATTAGACCCAACAAACTTCCAGACAACCTTCTGGATGACCTTACGGATGACCACGCTATGATACCCACTGGTGCCAGGCCAGCCAAGGCGCATGCGATGAAATTGGTCGGGAGCCCGGCCATCGCCCTATGATCGCACCGCAGAGGGAGGCCCAGACCACTGACCAGTGGGCTGTGGCTGGTGGGCGGGGCCTCCCTCTGTGAGGGAAGCCCCGGTCCCGGGTGCCAGAGGGAAGCCGGTGCCGGCAGCCAGGGGAAGGAGGGCCTACTCTTGCACGAATTTCATACATCAGACCTCTAGTATTATTATAAAAAATGAGCAGGAACCATTGCTTAAATATGCAAAGGCTATGGAAATGCCTGTAAGAATAAAACTTGCTTTTTCCCAGAAGATTCTGGAAGCCTGGAAATTCTCCAAGGCCAAGAGTCTTGCACTTCTAATGGGCATTTCAGACATAGAGAGAGGCTTGTCTGCCTCACTCAGAATGCGCCACCATCAGCTCCAGCAGGACTGGGATCATAGAAAGAATCTGGGGAATTCAGACATTCTGGCTCATTCTTCAATCATGTGGCCTGGTCTCCCAGAGCCACTTTCTCATCTACACAGTGCACATGATTGTACTGAGGTGTAGTGTAGGCCTACTGTGGTTATTAAATTAGATACAATATACAAAATACCTATGCAGAATGGATGCTCCAGAAATATTCATGTTCCCAATCCCAGGAGTTAAAGAAAACTTATACCTCTGATTTCTCAGCTGTGACAGGAACATTTTTAAAATGTAAGATCACCAACAAGTCAAATGTAGCAGTGCAGCATGCTTGAAAAAAAACTGCCAGATTCCTCTTCAAGTGCCAAAACTTCTCACACGCACGTATATAAAGACCTACTTGATTTTCTGGAATGAGGTCGAAGTGATATTCTCTGTGATCACTCACCTCTGTGCATCTTAACTAGTTAGTGTTGGTGCTGACAGTGCTGTGTACTAGGGAAAGAGCATGCTGGACGATAATTAGGGTCCACAAACCATGTGAGTGAAAAGAGTCTAGAAAGTGGGTCAGTGGATCCAATAGGTCCCTTGAAGGCCCACTTTTTCCAGAAGTCTCTTAAACATTATTTGGCAACAGTCCCTGACATGTTGATAGCATGTCTTGATTAGCATACGGTGACGATGGCACTTTTATCTGTGGTTTTCCTCCCTCAAAACCATAACTCTTGTCTAATCATGACAATAGCATCAGACAAATCCCAGCTTAATTCTGCAGATGTCTGGTCAGTACTCCTCTAACTGTCAAGATTATCAAAACTAAGGAAAGTCTGAGAAACTGCCGCAGCCCAGAGGAGCCTCAGGAAACATGAGGACTAAAGGTATGTGGAGTCCTGGATGGGATCCTGGGACAAAAAAATAGACCTTAGGGAAAAACTAAGGAAGTTCAAATAAAATATGGACTTTAATTAATAACAATGTATCAATACCGATTCATTAATTGCAGCATGTGTATCAAACTAATGTAAGATGTTCATAATAGGGGAAACTAAGTAATGAGGTATATGGGAATTCTCTGTATTGCTTTCACAATTTTTCTACAAATGTAAAGTTGTTTTAAAATAATAACTTTATTTTTCAAAAGGCTCCCTAGATTACCATTTATTCTACTTTGACATAGTACCCTAAAAAACAAAAATGAAACTTCCCCCAAATGCCAAGAAGGTTAAAGTCCCAGCTCACACATCAACATTTAATTTTCTCCAAATGCACTTCAGATACTCTCACTATCTGGATTGCCCACTGCTTTTGGGGCCACTGTTAAGGGGGGGACATCAGGAGGCTCAATAAATACTAATTGATACAATGCAATAAGTAAGCCTTCATTAGTGAATTCTGGATTCTGAAGAAACTAGAGTTCTTGCCGTCAAATAAATTTATCCTGCAAGAAGCCAGCCTCCAGACTGAGCTATGGGGGCAACCCCGATGGTCAGCCCGCACATGTGCATGCGGTCAGCTCTGCTCACATTCCCATTCACACGTGGCAACAAATCAGTCCAGGACATTGAGTGCAAGATTCAAAAATCGCAGTTGTGTTTTAACAGTGGACATCACAGCCCTACTCTCCTTGTCTGAAAATTTGGTTGGGTATTGACATGGTCTTAAATATAACCAACGAGTTCAGGCAGAAATCACTGATTGAACATTTTAAAACAAACAAGCAAACAAACAAGAGCACACCATCTCCCAGCCTCTCAGCTAAATAGAGTGCTAGGAATTTGCCAGCATTTTATTTAAATTAATGAACCAAATAATTTATCTGACTGAGAAAATGATGACTATACATTTACATATTCACATGAACACATATTCCCAGCGATTTGGCATGTTATCCATCTATACACCCCAGAGTACTGTACTGTTGGCAAGGCATGTGGAATATAGAAGAATATCAAGGTCGTGTCTCATGCGTGTGTGTGCATGCTAGTGGATGTATAGATGTGTTGGTGTGATGTTGGTTAATAATGTTGAGCCAGAAAAAGGAAGGGGCAGGAATGTCTTGTATTTAGTGGTCTTTCCAAATCAATTTTAAATGAAATTGTTGCTTAGTGTTTTCTTTTCTGTTGATAATGAAAATAGTGGGGGTGAAGGCGGAGTGCTGACTTTTCAGGTCCTGAGATAGTAACAGAAGGAGCCCAGCAGGCCTGCCCACTCCTGTTGTTAATTAAAGTATTTTCACATTCTCCAGGGTGTAATGCACTCTGGGCACCGAGAGTCGTGTGCAGTCTGATGATCACACATTCAAATAAATACAGTGGGGGGGCCACCGGGGAACAGATCGCTTCCCCCACCTCATTAACGGCTGCAATGCTTTGCAAATGTCTGAGATGCTCCATTTCTTATGAATAATAAATATCCGCCAGGCTCCCAATTGCTCAGTGTCTCAAGGTACCCGGACCCCGACCTGCTCGGCTGAGACCTGCAGGAGGCAGGAAGTGGGGCTGACATTTGCAGCTCAGAGCTGTCTCCATTGCATTCACTAAGTGATTCTTGCCAAGGCAGATTTCCCCCCACTTACTGCACCCCTGTGTCTGAACTGCACTGTAATTCTTATTTGTTGGCACTGACAAGCCTGTCTGCAAATGAGAGGTGAAGAGCTTCACAAAGCTGATTGTGAGTTGTCAGGAAATGTATCTTGAGGATCTCAAACCCTCAGGGAAAAAATACATTTTAAATACTGAGCAGCTTTTCAAATGGTTAAATTGTATATAAATCTCCCCAATACTTGTAATTGCAGTTGAAAGAAAGCAGGGGCAATTTTACTTCATGGAGATATATAGTAAAAAACAAACAAACAAAAAAACAAAAAACAATGTAGGAACCAGATAACAAAAATAATGCCAGGATTTTGACACTTTCAGGTGTTTTAGAAGAGTTTACTCCCATTTCAGTTAGGATAAAACAAAAACATAGATGAACAAAAATAACAACTTACATTTTATTGTATTGTGGACAAAAGGGGCCACATGCTAACCTGACAAGCTCAGGGGAGGCCTGAATGGCAGTCTTGCAAACTCAGAGACCTAAAGTAACCACAAAGGATGGTCTGAAATTAAACTTTAACTAAAAGCAGTTATGGTGGGTAGTTAGGTCCTAGGCTTGTACCTTCACTGACAAGGTCAACCTTTACCTTAACTGAGCCTATCTGTCTTTATGCATCTATAATAACATAACCTAGAAATGTCTGGGTAACTTGCAACTTCCCTTTTTCTGGACCCTTTGAGGCACAACCTAATGTGCTGGGCCCCAGGACAGATACCACAAATTCCTTCATTGTTAATCATGTTAATTGTTCCTGCACCCACCTAAGTATGTGTCTATCATTTTACTTTTTATCCAATCCCAGGGGTTCCCCCTCTCCCCACCTGCTTTCTTTCTCCCGCCTCTCTAGTCTATCACCAATGGATTTCATGTAACCCACCTACATCCCTTCCTTTGATTGCAATGTATAAATATAGATGTAACCCGCCATTCTCTGGAGCATTATCTCAATCCGTTGAGGTTCTGCTTCCTGACAATTGTCAACAGTTTGACTCAAATAAACTCACAAAAATTCTTCACAGGTTTGAATGTTTTTATGTTAACACTAGAGGCCCATTGCAGGAAGATTCCTGCAAGAATAGGGCTTCCTGGAAATTGTCATTTTGGCTTCAAAAAACTCATAAAAATTTTCTACAGGTTCGGACGTTTTTATACATAGACAGTACAAACAATAAAATTGAGCCTCAGAAGGTTAAAAGCACTGGCCCCAGATCACAGAGTATATGCAGGTTATCCTCAAATTCAGATCTTCTGATTCTAAGAATGTTTGACATGATAACCATGCTCCATGCTGGGTAGAGATTTACATGTTTCAGCCTTTCGCTTCAGTGAACATCCACCCTCCATCTTCACTTTGTAAACAGCTGTCTGATAGCTGTGGCATGTAAAAGCGTAAGTTTTTTTGACATACATTGTTGTCAACTGCCCCTGGGCCAGTTGTGAAATAGCTTGGCTGCTCTACACTAAAAAGTTTAAGTTAGCAAAATACCAAATTTTTTTTGCTGAGCCATTCACTTACCAGTAGCTTCAATTGAATTAATTAATAAAGTTGAGGTGGTCATGTGCTATTACACTCCTTAATATATGGAAGATACATCAGATCCTCACGATCAAGGAGGCAGAGACGGAGGAAGAGGAAAAGAGATTCTATGTTCCAGCCCCCCACTCCTCCTCCCCAAACTGGTATGGTTGACTATTGTGAGCGTGATATTTTGTATTTGTGTAATTTTTGTGTGTGTGCAAAAAAGAACTTTTGTGGTTGGTGATGTTATTTAAACTTCGCAAAAGCCATAATGAGTAAGGAGATAATGTCCTCAATTAAGGATGAAGAAGCTGAGTCATAGTTTGCACATGAAAAAATCTTAGTCCTTTCTCCCTTCCCTGTACATGAACTGTTGTGTCCAGGGCCACACACAGTGGCAGAGGAACGGCTTTTAATTCAGCGCTTCTGACTCCCAGTCTCACCCTTTCTTACCAACACAATCTCCTCATTCATGGCTGGGCAGAGACTCCCCCAAATAGCTTCACACCCTAATTGCACAAAGCATTAGTTTGTCATACTCATCGGGGCAAAGCAGATTCAAAGAATATTGTACTTGTTCGTTGGTAGGGCAGTGACCTAAGTCCATCCCTGCCCTCACTACCCCCTGTTAGAGTTGCCATAGGAAATATAGAATGCCCAGCTAAATATAAATAAGTTTTTATGTATAAGTGTGTCTCATGCCATATTTGGGACATACTTACACTAAACAATTACTTGTTGCTTCTCTGAATTTTATTTTTATTTATTTTTTTAGAGAGAGTGGAAGAGAGAGAGAAAGACAGAGAAATACCCATGTGTGAGAAACACTTCGATTGGTTGCCTCCTGCATGTGCCCTGACCAGGGCCTGGGCCAGGGAGGAACCTACAACCACAGTACATGCCCTTGACTGGAATCGAACCCAGGACCCTTTGGTCTGCAGGCCGACACTTTATCCACGGAGACAAACTGGCTAAGGTGTTTATCTGAATTTTAAATTTAACTGGCTTTCCTATATTTTTATTTGTTAAATTGGGCGATCCTACTCCATGGGGGTCTGGGCTCTGCCTGCCCCCTGGGCTACTTTGGACACTGGTGTGTATTCTCCTTACATCTTTCAGAAAGATGGTGGGCACCATAGGACAATGGCTTTTCTGGGATCTGTCATAGGCACTATGTGAATGAAGAAAGGGATTTATAAACGTTGAAAGCCTCAGTGTAGGCCACCTGATTCTGACATTGGCATTTTGCTCCATGAGGCCTCCTCAGGGAAGCAAGGTGGTAAGGGCACTGGGTCTGAACTCCTGTCTCCAGTTTTAAAATCTTATTCCTACTTAGATCATAACATCCTTAAGACACTGTCCAAGTAACTGCTAATGCTATGGGAAAATACTTTAACCCTTGAGTATCTGATTGCATTCTATATTCAAACAATGACTTCATTCAAACAATGTTAAGGAATAAACAGCTTCAATGTAGAACTTAATACATGAGTAGAATTTCCTAAAAATGAGAATAAAACTAAAGTAGGTAATAATAACATAAAAAGTCAGTGATGATCAGTAATAACCAGTTAATAATAGGATTAACAAGATGAAGGTCTAGAATTTTATAATAGTCAAGTCAAGAAATGTTTACACTTACAATAAATTTTTTTTGTCCTTTGTACCATTTTAAACTAGATTTAGACTGTTTTTATTGGAGGTAAATAAGTGAACAGCTTAAATGAAAACCTTGTGAGAGCAGATTGCCTGACTGTT